TTTTGAGTATCCTTTGATACTTAGTTTGTTTTACTTGTGGTTTTGAGTATCGTTTGATACTTAGGGGGTGTTTGGCCTGCCAAATCTGATTTGAAATCGTGATTTGAGATCAGATCTTGGCAACTTTAACTTGGATTATTACTTCTAATTACATACAGTTCCTAGATTAATAGTATAAATAATCTAAGTTAAAGTTGCCAAGATCTGATCTCAAATCACAATTTCAAATCAGATTTGGCGGGCCAAACACCCCCTTAGTTTATTTTACTTGTGGTTTCAAGTATCTTTTGATACTTAGTTTGTTTTACTTGTGGTTTCAAGTATCCTTTGATACTTAGTTTGTTTTACTTGTGGTTTCAAGTATCCTTTGATACTCAGTTTGTTTTATTCGCGGTTTGAGTAAGGAATATTTGGGAAACTCACCCATGCAGGACATGGATGGAACCTTGTATTTGAAGACTGCTGGTTCCCTTAGAGGAATAGCAGACTTCGATAGAGAGAGTATTTCTAATATACTTGGTTGAACAGTTAACTCTTCAAGTCCCTATTCTCTATATCTTTCTCTCAAAGACTCCCTTAGCACAGTACACCCATAGGTTGTAGATCAACTTGTGTGCTACTCCTATTGTACCTGGAAGTGTGACTAGCACCCCGGTGCGAACACGTTACAAGTATGAAAATCTTAACATTGTGTGACTCACAACTGTGAGTCATGAACAGGTAAACATAATAACCTATCGCACACTAATGTGTATGATATAAAATCCCAACATACCTATAGCTCTGAATTCTGAGCTATGTGAAATCTGCCTCACTTAGTCACAGTTCATGACAAACAAATACATATGATATTGAACCCAATGACTACCGCAGAGGCCTCACCTTTTTCTCCTTCTATGTTATGCCAAATAGGGCAGCTCATAAGTACTTATGCAAGCTTGTATTTCGATAAAGAAGTCTACCAAACCTCTCTATTAAGCGGCAAAGAGTACATTGCTGAGTTACTCACCTGTTGTGATTGTTACATAATACATATTTCTTAGACATTATTTATATGTCAACCAGTCATGCACTGTGACTTTCATTTTATCAGATTATGCTAACTTGAGATAACTCTAGTATCCGGTTGCAACTTGTGTTTTGTGATTATAGCACTATCCAACAGCCATGACCACCAGACGCACCCTTGATAAGATTTTACATAAAGAGTATGAGGAATAACTCAGAACCCTATTCTTTATACTTTATTACTCACTCTCCGCCTCAGACTTCACAGCTGCTTCAGCTTTTTCTGTTAGGCTGGACATCATTAATGTTGTGGGTCTTTGATGGTTGTAGTGCTTATGGTTGAAGGCGATCGCTGTGGTTGCTACGTAATTGTCTGTTACCAGTATGATACTCGTACTTCGGAACACCTCGGACCTTTTGGAATTGTTTGACCACTTAGTCATCTATGTCTCCAACACTACAAGTAACAGGGGTGGCACGAAATTTCAATGCCTTGCCGGTCTAGGAGATAGGTCACCTTGGCTTATGTGGAGAGCGCAACAGCGTACTGACTAGGTATCGAACTGATATCCAGCGCGATAGATAAGAAAACAAGCGCTTTCTATAACTTGCCCGAACCCATACTTTAATTGCGTATAAGCGGGTAAATATGATAAAAAAAGAAGTGTATTTGTAGGAAGAACTGGGGACAAGTGAGAAAAAGAAGAAAAGCAGCAGTAGGAGTTCGGGAGAGAAACTTGAGAAAAGAAAAACAGTACGGAGAGGAAAAAAAAAAGCTTTTTTTGCCACCCGCTACCGTAAAACGATGCCAGAGGGTACAGTAACCAATGCTATTTGCCTTAACTGGAGAAAGGAATGGGTAGAAGGGATTGAAGGAGCAGGAAGAAAAGATATATACGAAAGTAGATTACAAATTTCCATGCTAATAGAAACGTCGTTATTTGAAAAAGGGCTGTCAGACAATCGCTTGGGGCGGGCGAGAAATCGCGGCGAATTCTGGACGCCCTCATTCATACACTCACTCCGTTTTGCCGAACGGGACCCTTAATCATACATCAAACTCTGCCCCATCTTCTTGCTTGAATCCAGCAAACAAATTCCGGCACGAGAAGTGGTTAGCCAAATTAATGTCTAGAAGGTTGAGTGAAGGGAGGGAAACTAACGAGTACTGTTTTGTGAGCATGCATTCTCCACCTCTCTCGACGTCCGCATCGTGAGCAATGAAGCAACCATCATTAGTTACAACTATTGTGTGTGGACTTGTACTACTTAGTGCTACTACACTCTTCAATCCAGCATTCGGAAGCTTTGCAAAGGCAAAGTCTCTCGCCGACTCCAACATCTCAGTAACGTCATGCGGCAGATACCCTCCAGCAGCACCAGCGATTGTTCGTCCAATCTTTTGCGATGAGCGTCCAACTATAGAGCCAAACATTCCAGAGCCACTGCGGCGTTTGGACACTACATAATGATCAAAACCGCCTCCCGCAGCTCCAGCCTGGTTGGGTGGAGATGTTAGAGATCCCGTCAGCGGACCCCCAGCGTCCAAATCTGTAGCCCTGAAAGATCTAGATAAGGACTCTTGGGGATTCAGTCCGTCGCGACGGAGTGTATGGACAGTTTCCGTCGCAGATGAACCACAGAGCACGGTAGATATAAGCTTAGAGGAAATTGTGAAGATACGCGAAGGGTACCTTCCTCGGCGGAACTGGTTAGGCTCTGTTTGGCTGGAATGGAACCGCTTGAGACTGTTCCATTTTCTCATATTATACAAAACGACCGTTATGAAACGGAAGGGTAAGAAAATTTGTATGGGGAACGGAACGGAATGGACTCGAGTAGTCGTATCCAAACAGACCCTAAAGTTTCTGGGAATCGGGAATAGAAAAAAGCCCTGATTATCGTGCCCTTGTCTGAGCTAGTAGCTAAAAGAGACCCCTCACTATTGAGAGAAAGAATCACTAGCAGGGCCTTGTGGACTTCAATCACATCCGCAGCCTCAAGCTTTATTGCGCCGAAAAGAATCACATCACCAGATGCTGTGGGAGGCGCGTTAACGCCTGGGGGGGTATGAGAATGAGGTGAAAACGACGAAGCACTCGAGTTCGTTGGTCTTGGATAAGCAATGTAACACTTTTTCAAGGACGAGGAAAGTGCACAGATAGCTGATGAAGAGTATGTATCAGTAAAGAAGGTGTGAGTCTCAGTGTGGATATGATGCCCTACCGGTAGGATTAGGTATGGTCTCAATTGTGTGTAGTAACTTCATGTTGCTGATGCCATATACCTATATTTGCTCCTCCAGCACTACTATCAAACGCACCCAATTCAATTTGAGGGCCAATATAGATTTTGGAAATGTGAGTTCGCATATCGTGGATTGCCGCTTCCGGCAGGGCAACATTTCAAGTTAGCCTAAATTCGATCAAAAAGAGACCAGATTCAAAACTAAGATATTATGCTCAAGGAATAATAGCCTTGTTACCCCGGGCACCAGCCTTTGTGTTATGACTAGTGGGCGATGGGAAAGAACAAGAGCGACGAGTTAGGTACGGAAGAGTATTTCGATTATGGAAACATCCCCGCCCTCCTTTTATTCATAGATCTTGCCAAACGGATCACAGTTATATATTCGATAGCCATTGCGGGTACCAACAGGCATGCAAGAGAAGTCCTGGTTGGAGGTAGCAGAGTTCATAGCTTTGATGAGCAAATGTTAGCTTTTCGTAGTTAATGCTACTGAGTTTTGGTGGTGGAATATAGGTAGAAGGAAAATGTCGGGGATGGCAAGTCGGAACGGAGTTTTTTCATCGGGTGGTAGAAAGCATTTACCATGGGAGCCTTTGAGACACGTAAGAGCAGCATAATTTAGGTTAATCTGAAATGGCAGCCGAGCAGTCAAGTAAAGCCGAGTCCATGAGGTGTGTGCGAATAAACCTCTGCTGGGGAGAACTCGAAACATGCCCAGCCAAAAGCTAGGGTCATATTTCCGGGATGTAGGTTTATGGCAGTTCGGGTGAGTTAGTTAGTTAATGAGTGTTGTTGCTACACCGGTCCTGTATTCCTCGTCTGTCAGATTCCAAGAACTGCGGCTGGGGGAGATAAAAGAAGGGAACTCGGGAAGTTATGTTTTTCAAATCTATTCCACCCAGCAGCAACCTTGTTGAACACGAGGGGTACATGAATAACCGGCCCATAGGAACCATCAGTCGTGATCCACGCAACCTGCAATACCACTAGGGTTTCACACATAGGTGCACAAAAGCGAATCCTCTTGCTGCAGATGCCTTCCATAGCAACCTATTGCAAGGGATTGCCACCGACTGCTTTTACAGTGGGATGCCGGGTGCTAGCGTCCCGTCCACTTTCCCAGTCATCACGGTGGTAACATCTGTGCTCTGACGAACCCCTTCGAGATCCCCTTCCATTCATCCGGCCCTATAGTTGAAGCACCGAAGACCTCCGTACTGTTATTCCAGCGCGGAGCCCTTCAGCCGTACATCTGCGAATCACCTTAACCTCCTTCGATCACAGAAATAGCCCGTTTGACGGTACAAGTGCACGATTCTGCAGCTGCCACAATTCTGTTACCCGGTGAGCCCCTAACTCCTTCATTGACTGCGATCCCGATAATGCCCCCACCGCGAGGGGTGCTATCAGAAAGATGCAATGAGACAAAAAAGTCACCTGCCCAACGTCCAAGTTTGCTGAGACCGCACTACAGCGATAGCGCCGTAAGCACAATCTCTTGTAGGTGTTGTGTAAACGGACGGAATGTAGCCTGATTGTGGCACAGAAGGTCCTTGAGCGATTCCAATACCGGAGTTGGTATCTATTCCGCAGCAAGTTATTCCATAAAAAGCCTGGTTCTGGGGTGAGCTCGTCGGGAACTATATCTGAGTTACAAAGGCAGCTCTAGTTCACCAAGGGGTGCAAAACATGATGATTTGAAAAGTGGGAAGGGGTCCTACTTATGTGGCGCAGGCTCCACAAAATGCCTCTGATTTTGGGTTACGGTGGTGTGGGGAGGTCGATTGTTTTGAGATGGCAAAAGCGGTGTTCATCATAGGGCTAAATCATCTATTTCCGATTTTGGTCTAGGGGGAGAGTTTGATGAATGGTTGGGCGGTTTTATGGTGTATAATCAACTACAAGTCCCCGGCATGAACGGACTGAACAGCAGGGGGTTCCGGTGGCTGAAAGTCCTTTGCCAAGGACACTGAATCACCCCTGTAAATAGCAAAAGTAGTTAGCAGAAATGTAATCAAAAAGGGTGAAATTTAGCGAAAAAAAGAGATATTCTCTGCATCACTTGAATATATAAATATTAAACTAAATATTAAATACTAAAAAATAATAATAAATAATAATAAATACAAAAAAGTAAAAGTAAAAGTTCACCAGTGAGTATGGCCACCAGAAGCGGCAATAATAGCCTGTGTTCTTTTCGGCATTGAATCCACAAAGGTTAAAAGATGCTCCTCTGAAATAGAATCCCATACCTCCCATATTGCCTCCCCCATGCTCTCCAACCCTCGTGGCCGTGGATGCCGCTTGTTTAATTTATCTTTCAAGATAAACCAAACATTCTCAATTGGATTGAGATCCTGGGATGAGGGCCGCCAGTCAAGTTTGGGAATACCGTACTGCTCCTGGATCTGCCGTGTATGATGTGCCCAGTGAGCAGAGGCTCCATCCTCCATGAGTCAGAGAGGATGAGCAGTATGCTCACTCTCCCGCTCCCAAAATGGCTTGAGTACTGGGATAAGGACATTGTCAACATAATGTTTGGATGTTATGGTACCCCAGTCCTTATCCCAGAGAACAGGGTCGCATTTCTTTGCCCCCAAAATGCCACCCCATACCATGATCGTATCCTGCTTGGGAAACTTAGGGAGGAGGCAATCATTGTGATACTCCTCCCCTGGGTGCCGGGTCACCCAAACCTGACTTGTGTGACCGGACAGCCAAACATAACACTCATCAGGCTAAATGACCCAGTGCCAATCCTCTTTCCTCCAATCCTGATGGGCTATCACAAATGCTAGGCATAGCCCCCTCTTCCGCTCATCAAGAAAAGGCTTCTTTCGAGCAACCCTCCTAGAATAGTCTTCTATCTGGAAGGCTTTCCGGAGGGTTCTATCACAAGCTTGAATACCCCAAGCTGCTGCAACTGCAGTAAGCCGCATTCTTCGGTGAGCGGCACTCATGGTAGCGGTAGCTACTAGCTGCCGGCGAGTAGGAGTGTCGAGGGAAAACTGCCTTCTTTTTGGTTTTTTTGGAGTGGAGGGAGTATTTGTAATGGGGGCTCCCTCAGGTAGATGGTTCCTAAGGATGCGACCGCACCAAACTTTGAATCTCTTGAACACAGCTCTTGCAAAAGTGTAAAGAATAAAAGTAAACGGTAAAACTTAAAATTGTTAAGCTCAGGTTTATCTCAATTAAAGTCTCTCGAGAGGATGTTGATTGTGTCGGGGTAGGAGAGTTTTCGTATAATCTTTAAGTAGTCAGACTTATACCAAAAACTCCCCCATCAGGTTACCCCGACCAACATGAGTATGCCCTTTCTCCGTAAGGGTTGCCCCGGCACCATTACCTTGTCCCCGAAGGGCTAAGGTGTCAGCGCACTCTAGCAGAATTCTCCTTTATGCACATCAATTTCTGCGAGGTATTTACCAATATACCTGCCGGAGTGAAAACCTCTGCGCATCGGTGTCTCGTCAGTGGCTAACTGTCGAGACGCCTAGGAAAGCTAACTAAATGACTCTCTTCCCATGTGCTATGACCTATGCAACCTCCCGTAGACATCAGCTGTCTCCCGGCTAAGCTCTATCTTTTTTGAATACGAACTTAGAGGGTCTATGTTAAGAATCCTACCGAGTAGGACCTAGCGACAGGTAACGATACTTCTCTGTAAGGCGATAACTCTTAGGCCTATGCCTACGCGCTCACGATAGTCGAGTCCTTTGACTACTATCGTACTCGCGCCTATCTCCTTATTCTCCTTCTTAGTCCTCACTTAGAACTCAATCTTTTCTTCTGAGAGGAAAGACACTTCTCGGGTTTCTTAAGATAAATCTTAAAGAGCGTAAAGGTAGGTTTTATTGATAATGACTTTAAAGGTAGGAAATAAACAAGAAGAACGTGTGAAGAGCTAGTACTAGGGGTCCTAGTGACCCTTTATATAGTAGCTCTTCACCTGGCGTGACTCATACTTATGTGTCACGCGAACCTTGTGACTCATAACTACGAGTCATGCAAAATCTCTCAGCTAACTCCTATGAGTCGCTGCGCAACATGCCTAAAACCAATCAAAACATAATAACTAAATCAGGTGCGCAACTCCCGCCCCCTGAGTGAAACCCATGACTCATAACTTGAGTCATGTGCGAAAATCATAACATCGTGTGACTCACAACTGTGAGTCACGAACAGGTAAACATAATAACCTATGGCGCACTAGTGTGCATCATGTGAAATCCCCACATACCTATAGCTTGGAAATCCGAGCTATGTAAAATCTGCCTTGCTTAGTCACAGTTTGTGACAGTCTACGGCGCTCCCACGTCGAGCTGTATCAGTGGCAGGACCTGTGGGCGCTACCCATAGTCCCTTACCTCCGGCACACCACTCAGCGTAATAAGTATCATACTATTAGAGTCTTCAAACAACCCACAAAGAGCCTACGGCAAAGGGGCATGGCTAGGCTTGATTGGCGTAAGACCTTCCCAGATGTCTCCGGCACTACCTGGGACTACTTTGGGGACCCGTCCAGATAGCTCACGCTAACTCCGTCAGTTTTGGTCCGTTTTACTCTGTTCTTTTTGGAGAAGGTACCTGACCTTCTCATCTTCACCCCCTTATATATCCTGCGAACGGCTTCCGGTTGGACGGACGGCAGTGACGTATACTGTGTTATGGACATGTCTCCATGAACTCCATTTAACTAGTAAGCCGGCAACTCCACCCATTTTGGCCCATGACGCCCGGGGCAAACCCTGGGGCCGCAGGTACCTGTTAGGAATAATTCTACCAAGTTACAGCTTGTTCAGAGCACTATAGCTCCTCCCGTAGTCTTCCGATCAAAACGCAAACAAGTGTCCATCGATCATCATTGCGTAACAAACAATCCTAACATTTCCCGAAATTCTTCTGAGAACGTTTCTGACGGAAGCTCGGGTAATAGTGTCTCAAAGGTACGGTAAGTATCTCCATGGTAACATGAAACCGGTCTCCATGGTAGGGTAACATGACTTCCTTAAACAGGGTAAACTCACCTGGCCTTCTATCCTATCCTTAGGCCAGAGCGGACATTGTCACGTTACTACCACTACTTAGGTACACCATTTCCTTAAGTACCTTCTATTCTTAGAGATATCTTGACCATCAAATATCCCTCCAATATGCGCCTGCATCCCCACCTCGTCTACCATCTGACCTCCTGGCCTTATGTATAGGTATAGACGTAGGTTACCATAGCTCTATAACGTAGGGTCATTACAGTATTGCAGATGTTAAAGACTGTGCCAATGCTAAGTTTCTGGTCTTCAGCAATTTGGCGGTAGGTCCAACCTGCTGAATTGCGTAAGTTCTGGACTGCGCATCGCTGTTTATAGGTTGCCCATTCATGCTTTTCAGCTTCCATTCTTCTGAATACTATATTTGTAAGTAACAGTTCATGATTCTCTCTGTTTGGGA